GTCCATGAGAGCTACCATTCGAGGCACATGTGGCTGCAGAGGGCCGCTGTGAAGGGAGTGGGGCCTCACACCTCCTGCCTGCAGCTGACAAGTCGAGGGCTGTAAGCTGCCAACCGAGCCTGCCTGTGCTCTGTCCGGCTCTGGCTGCAGGACAACAGCCATGGATCAGGGTCTCCCACCCTGTAGCCATTTCCTAGGCCAGGGGGAGACCAGAAAGAATGGTAACGTCTTGGAAGAATGTGAGGCTTTGGAGAGAGCACTGAATCCAGAACTGGCTCTTCTTGCTCTGTGACCTCGTTCTACCTCTAAAGAAGAGAAATTCCTTTATGAGAAAAACGTATCGACCAGGCCCAGTGGCTCATGCCTATAATCACAGCACTTTGGGAGGCTGAAGCCAGTGGATCACTTGAGGTCAGGAGTTCAAGACCAGCCTGGCCAACATGGCAAAACCCCATCTCTACTTAAAAAAAAAATACAAAAATTTGGCCAAACATGGTGGCTCACACCTGTAATCCCAGCACTTTGGGAGGTCGAGGCAGGCAGATCACCTGAGGTCCAGAGTTTGAGACCAGCCTGGCCGACATAGTGAAACCTCGTCTGTACTAAAAATACAAAAAATTAGCTAGGCATGGTGACATGCACCTGTAGTCCCAGCTACTTGGGAGGCTGAGGCAGGAGAATGGCTTCAACCTGGGAGGTGGAGATTGTAGCAAGCAGAGATCTCGCCACTGCACTCCAGCCTGGGTGACAGAGCAAGACTCTGTCTCAAAAACAAACAAACAAAAAATTACAAAAATTAGCCAGGCATGGTGGCAGGCACCTGTAATCCCAGCTACTCAGGGGGCTGAGGCACAAGAATCATTTGAACCCAGGAAGTAGAGGTTACAGAGAGCCGAGATTGTGCCGCTGCACTCCAGCCTGGTGCAAGAATTAGACTTCGTCTGAAGAAAGAAAAAAAAGGAAAGAAAGAAAATTTATTTATTTATTTCAAGCATATGTAAAATAACTACCATGAATCCTCACCTATTAGAGATGAAAAGGCCTTTTAAGGGTTAGTCCAACCTCCTAATCGTGTAAATAGGGCTCAAGTCAGGTGACTTGCCTGAGGCCACACAGCTGGAAGGCTGAAAAGGGAGAGCTGTACAGTCCAGTCTATAGCAACTTGCCACACCCGGCTAGTCACATTTAAATTAAAATTAAATTAAAAAATAAAATTAGAAGCCAGTTCCTTGTTTGCACTGGCCACACTTCAAGTGCTTAATAGCCACACGTGGCAAGTGGCTCTGTGGGGACAGTGCAGGTACACGGCTTTCCCTCACTTCGGGGAGTTGTGTTGGCAGCTCTGGGCTAGCCGTCCCATGCTTCTGACCTGCCTGGTTTCCTTGATGGGGTGCAGCAAGAGGTCCAGCAAAACTGGGGGCAGCCATGGGTCTGTTTACCAGGTCCCCGTCTTATACTCTCCCCACATTGTCACTTGGAGTTCCGATTATGTTGACCCACTTCTTACAAAATGATGAGTGGGCTGAGTGTGGTGGCTCACGGCTGTAATCCCAGCACTTTCGGAGGTGGAGGCGGGTGGTCATCTGGGCTCAGGAGTTCAAGACCAGCCTGGCAAACATGGTGAAACCTCGTCCCTACTAAAACAAAAATTAGCCGGGTGTGGTGGAGCACACCTGTAATTCCAGCTACTCAGGAGGCTGGGAAAGGAGAATCGCTGGAACCTGGGAGGTGGAGGTTGCAGTGAGCTGAGATCGTGCCACTGCCCTCCAGCCTGGGCAACAGAGTGAGACTCCATCTCAAAAAAACAAAAAATGAGAAAAAAACAAATGATGAATGATGCCAGTAGTCCCACTTAAAAGTACCCATTTCTGTAAAAAGCACTGGGCCAGTGGCCCACTCTGTCAACCTCCAGAGAGCAGCAGCCAGGCCTTCTGGACTCAGCCAAGCATGACCAATGGCCTTGGGCTAAACATTCTGAAGCACGGAGGAAAGAAGCCCACGGAAACTTCTACCAATTGTGGCATGGCCAGGAAGCACACAGGTGGGTGTCAAGGTCTGAGTCAAGCCAGTGTTGACCATAGTCAAGCCTGTCAAGTCCCCTCCTGTGTAACTGAGAGGGTCAGATATAAGGATCGATGGCCTGCTCTAACATTCTCTGTGCTTATAGGGGACACATGGCCTAGTGCCTCCCAAAAGGCAAAGGGAAAAGAAATCCTTGGCCTTTAATAAAGCATAGTATTACCTGTAATTACAGGTTCTCATTCTATGTCAGTGATTTCTAATATTTAGGGGATTACAGGTCCTTTAAGCAGCTACTGAAAGCTAGGAATCTTCCCCCAGAGAAACATATATGTACACAGACATGTCATGTTGTGCATATCATGTTAGGCCATTGTTGGCTTTGAAGATAGAAGGGATCATGAGCTGAGGAATGAAGTCTCTAGAAGCTGAAAAAAATAAAAAATGACTGTCCTCTAGGACTTCCAGAAGGACGCTTCCAGGGGACAGAGCCACAGCCAGGAGCAGGCACACTGAAGAACACTCCCGCCAACAGAAGCCACACTTGTCATCCACTCAAGGTGGAAAGAACAGGTGTCCCTCTCAGTCTTTTAGCCCCTCCCCACCACTGCAAGGCCAGACAGTGCATGAAGCAGTATTGCCTTCAAAAACAGAAAATGGCAATGTCTGCAAAACTACAAAACCTCAGTGAAAGGGAATTTTCAGAAACCATGTTTCTGAGGTTACTTGAATTTTGAGGTCAACAGACAACAATGAGACACCACTTTGGGTTTCAGTCATCCATTGCCTGTGAAGCGTGAGCATCCGCTTAAACCTTTCATGACTAAGGATATGGCAGACCTTGAGGGACGTGAGTTCTGTTGAAACTCCCATTGGAGGAACTCAATAGATGTCATTGCGGAAGGGGTAGAGGAGAGGGTGGAACCTCACACCCCATTATCCCCAGAACTTGCCTTTAAAGGAACAAATTAAGTCCCATGATCAGGTGGTGGTTGTGCAATTTGTCTCTTTTTCCTGACCACTGGATCCAGAGGCAGAGGAAGGGGATGTTTGTGAGTGTGTAGACACATTGTGTGTGTGTGTCCATATATGAACACACACAGAACATAGGTACATGTGTTCTGGTTGACTCAGGTGTTTCGGAGGTAGCCAGTGTGTGAGAACATTTATGCTCTGACACATTCTTCGCAGTAAGTCTGAGTAAGGATTTCAATGTGTAACCTGCACAGATTGAGCGTGAGAAAATTAAACTGGATGTAATCACAGGAGGTGGGGGACAGAGGTGGGGGGATTAATGGATGCGCCCAGGACACATTATGGTCATGTGCAAACAGAGGATGTGGCTTAAGTTTGACTCCAAGCAGCAACCGAGACTCCCATAAGAACAAAACCCTCACCGCTATCCTATTATAAAAATTTCTAAAACATGCAAGTTTCTAAAACACGCAATTTCTAAAACATACATGTTTCTTGTAGCCCCTGAAATAGTCTTTTTACTCTACAGCCACTCTGCTGTTTTGATTTGGAATCACAGAACTCATACAACCTTAAGGCTGGGAAGGTCTTGCATTTAAGCATTTAGAGCCTTCTTTCTATGGATGCCTAGAGAGAGATGCTCCTTGCTCAGATCATACAGAGGCCAGGATGCTCTTACAACCCCTCCTAGACTTTCTAGGACTCTCAGAACCTACTGGATTCTTTAAAATCTTTTTAGCTTCCCAGAGATCTTAAATTGAGCAGGACTTTATAGGTTTACCTATCTGGTTTCTATACATGACATGGGTGAGAATGTGACAGAGACTCCATGGGACAGTCCCTAAATCCCAGGAGAAAGACAGGGCTCCATCACCTGCTGATGTCATCAAGGCCAGGGAGACTTACTGATGAAAAGTTGGAAAAGAAAAACAGAAAACTCACAGTACACACCACAAAAAGTGCAGGGACAACCCCGGAGGCTGGACTATCTGGATTGAACCATTGCAAACCTAGATCCTGCAACACCAAATCCAGAAGGGAAACTCGGACGCCCTGTTGACACATTCGGCGCTGTGGAGAATGGCTTTTCTGGATTCCCACCTGTGGCGGGAGTAACTCAGCTTTTGAAAAGGGAAGCACATATATTTACAGCTGTGAGTGAACCCTTTCCTATGCCTCCGCCCTTTGAGGGGCTGTAACAAAGCCAAGTGGTAGAATAACCCACCTGTTTGGGTAGCGCCCCACTTCACCCAGCAGGGTGTTGGTGAAGGCTACAGAGATTCCGTCACAGAGGAGCTCAGCCAAGACAGGCAGATAACAACTTGGGCATGAGGCTGGCATTCCCAAAGCCCACAAAAATGCCAACACACGAATGTTCACACAGCCGAATCTGCAGCTCATGACGCCACAAACAAATCTCTCAAACTTAACAAGGGAACCGCAAACTGCCTCCCCAGCAACCCCAGCAGAGGGCTTCCAGCGCACTGCAAGCACACCTACCCATCTGATGCTCCTGAAGTTGACAGAGTAGAAGAGATATTTGCGGGCCTCTTTCACAGAAGAGGAAATGAGTGCTGCAGCTTTCCCAGAGTCACGCAGCTGGTTAGGGACAGACTCCCAACAAAAACTACATCTGTCAACACCTCACCCAGGGCGCCTCCCTCATTACCACACCTTCCCCAAAAGAAGGCACTTCCTCTGGGTTATGATCATAACAACTACGCTTGTTGAAACTTACACTGTGTCAGGCATTGTCCTAGGCATTTTGTGCACAAAAACCCTCTATGGAGGTTTCATCCCCACCGTATGGATGAAGAAAATGAGGCTTAGAGAGGTTAAGTGACTTGCTTAATGCCACACAGCTACTATGAATTGGTATAGGGATTCAAAGCCTGATCCATTGTCCCCAAAGCTCTTGGGAACAAACCACAGAGAAGAGGGCCATTTATCAGGGCTCCTGTAACAGAGGCCTCCCCAGCCCCAGCTGCAGGACGAAGGGAAGCTACCTCATTGCCACGTTGCTGCCATCAATCACTATGGGTCGCAGGGAACTGGCCAGGCCTCCGATGTCCTCTTCCAGGGCTGTTCCCGGGACCCGCTGGGAGGAATCCGGGACCCCACAGGAGCCTCGAGGCACTAGCCTGGGTGCAGCCGGGTGCTCCAGGGCCCCTGGGCGGCTGCCTGTGCGGATAAGCTCCTGCAGCACATCGTTGACCAGGGCGCCCTCGCCCAGCTTGCCCAGCACCCGGAGCACATCCTCCCGGTCATAGCCCAGCTTCTGGAAGAACTCCATCTTGCTGGGATGCTCCATGCTGTGCCCAGCGGCCACTGGTGTGGGTCCTGCCCCAGGCTTCCTCCTCTCAGAGCCCTGCAGGCATGAGCTAAAGAGAAAAAAGGCATCCATCAGGTGTTTTCTGGGCAGACTGGGGCAAAGCAAGGGATGCCTGCGCTGGCTCCCTCCTGGCCCTGCTGTCAGGAATCAGGCGGAGCAGTCTACTTGGGGATTTTCAGCTGCTCAGTGTGGCTGCGGAGTTGCAGCGGCAATCATGCTGCTTTCTCAGTACGCTGTCTGAGGCCTTCACCTCACACTGCTTGGCAGGGAACCCCGACCACACACCAGGGCTGCAGGGGCTGAGCATGGTGGCAGGGAACCCCGACCACACACCAGGGCTGCAGGGGCTGAGCATGGTGGCAGGGAACCCCGACCACACACCAGGGCTGCAGGGGCTGAGCATTGTGGCAGGGAACCCCGACCACACACCAGGGCTGCAGGGGCTGAGCATGCACCCAGCACTCAGGACGGGCCAGGCACCACCTGAAACAATGAGACTGGCCCCAGGGGCACCGGCCCCTTCTAACTGCCAAATCCAACAGCATTTTCACAGTCCTCGCCTTATGCAACCTCTCTGCCACTTTTGAAACTGGGAACCACGCCTTGACTTGTTATTTTAAATAAAAAAAGTATAGACTGCCCTTACTTGAAACTATCTGCTCCCTTAGGCTGTATAACTTGGCCTGATTCTCCTCCTAATTTGGTACAGCTCTTCCCCTTCTCCTTCAGTGTTGGGGTGCTGCCCAGGCCCTCCACCAGCCCCTGTATTCTGATGGGGCCCACAGCTGCATGTCTGGCTCACACCTCCCACCGAGCACCAGGCTCAGTTGTAAGTCTGGGAGATAAACACCGTGCATGCTATTTAAATTAAGTGCTGTGGGAACTCAGAATGCTGTCATTCAACAGACATTTGCTAAGTGACTATTTCAGTGGTTCCCAAAGTGTGATTTAGGGAAGCTTGGGGGACTCCAAGATATTTTCAGGGCATCTTCAAAGTAAAAACTAGTTTTAGGCTGGGCACAGTGGCTCACACCTGTAATCCCAGCACTTTGGAAGGCCAAGGCAGGCAGATCACGAGGTCAGGAGTCAGAGGCCAGCCTGGGCAACATAGTAAAACCCCATCTCTACTAAAAACACAAAAATTATCCAGGCATGGCGGTGCGCACCTGTAGTCCCAGCTACTCGGGAGGCTGAGGCAGGAGAATCACTTGAACCCGGGAGGTGGAGGTTGCACTCCAGCCTGGGCAATAGAGCAAGACTCTGTCTCAAAACAAAAAACAAAAAACAAAAAAAACCTCTATTTTTATAATTACGCTAAGATGTAATTTGTGTGCTTGACTCCTGTCCTCTCCTAAGGATACAACAGAATATTCCAGAGACTACATATCGTGTGATACTACAACAGCTTGAATGCAGAAACAAGTGTGAGAATTCAGCTGTCTTCTATTAACCCAGACATGAAACAGATTTGCAGAAATATGAATCAGCGCCACGCTTCTTACTAATATTTTTTTGTTTTGGAAAATAAAGTTATTTTTCATGAAGGTATGTCAATATGTCAGTGTAATTGGTTTATTACTATGCAAAAATAAACGAATTTTTTCAAGTTCTTAGTTTTTCGTTTCTAATAAAGTACCTATCCAGTGACAGACAGAATCCACATAAACAAAGGCTCTTTGGGACCCTTAATAATTTTTAAGAGTATAAAGGTGTTCTGAAACTAAAAAGTTTCTTCTTAAATCTAGAGCTGTTCCAACAGGTATTTCCAAGTAGCTGGCTCCATGCAGGTGACCTACAGACACATCCTCCTTCTCCCAGGGTGCCAGTACAGAAAGTCCAGTTCTTTACTCCCTCAATCTGGCCCTCTCAAGCCTACCTCCTACTGTCCCCTGCCCCACCCACGCCTCAGTCCTGCCGTCTTCATCCCACACACCGTGACTGCAGCAGCCTCCATCTAGCTTGTAGCCACCACTGCATTTCTAAAATGAGTCTGATCATGTTAGCCACCTGCTCAGAAATTTCCTCATTGGCTATAAGAAAGACACCAAATTCCTAGGCAGGCTGCTGAGCTTGTGACAAAGTAGCCCTGATGCTGTCTACCTCACTGCCCATCCCAGCCCACCTGACCCCTTCTCTAGAGACTTGCCGAACATTTCCCTGCCCCCCAGGCATTCTAGAATGTTCTCACACCAAGCATGGTGGCTCCTGCCTGTAATCCTTGCACTTTGGGAAGCTGAGGTAGGAGGATTGCCTGAGGCCAGGAGTTCAGAAATAGCCTGGACAACATAGTGAGACCCCATCTTTATAAAAAATTTAAAAAGTTATCGGGGCATGGTGGTGTGCGCCTGAAGTCCCAGCTACTTAGGAGGCTGAGACAGGAGGATTACTTGACCCCAGGAAGTCGAGGCTGCAGTGAGCTGTGATCACACCACCGCACCCCAGCCTGGGTGACAGAGCAAGCTCCTGCCTCTTAAAAAATAAAACTAATCTTAAAAAACAAACAAACAGGTTGGGTGCGGTGGCTCATGCCTGTAATCCTAGCACTTTGGGATGCCAAGGCAGGTGGATCACGAGGTCAGGAGTTCAAGACCAGCCTGGCTAAAATGGTGAAACCTCGTCTCTACTAAAAATTACAAAAAAAATTAGCCAGGTGAGGTGGCATGCACCTGTAAACCCAGCTACTCAGGAGGCTGAGGCAGGGGAATTTCTTGAACCCAGGAGACGGAGGTTGCAGTAAGCTAAAATCATGCCACTGTATTCCAGGCTGGGTGACAGAGAGAGATTCTGTCTTAAAAACAAAAAACAAACACACAAAAAAACAGAATGTTCTCAGCACCGTGCTTCTGAATATGTTTTCCTCTCTACCTGGAAGGCTTTTTGTCTTAGAAAACATCAAGATTCAGCTCAGATGTTATTCAGAGCAGTCATCCCTGAGCCTACAGACAGAGTGAGCAGCTCGGCCATCTCATCTACCACAGCACTTTGCTCACACCTGTCTTACGACACAGTGAATTATCATTCATCTGTTTCTCAAGAGACTGAATTACTCAGGTATCCTGACCTATTGCCTCAGAATCACCAGCACCAGCACAATGCCTAGTGTATCTGAGGAGTTCAATGGATTTTTTTTTTTTTTTTT